ACGTACGCCTGTACACCTCTATACCTGTGCACCATACGCCTGTACGCCTGTATACCTGTACGCCTGTACGTCTTAACACCTGTCTGTCTGTCTGTCTGTCTGTCTGTCTGTCTGTCTGTCTGTCTGTCTAGGTGTCGTATGATGTCAGTGGTTTCTGTGAGAGGAACAGGGACGTGTTGTTTAACGACATCATCGAGCTGATGCAGAGCAGTGAGTTGTAAGTACTCTCTGTGTGTGTGTGTGTGTGTGATGACCTGATGATGACCTCACAGTGACCCCTGTCTGTGGTGTGTTTGTGGTCAGTCTGTTCATCAGAGCTCTTTTCCCTGAGAACCTGGAGGCTGAGAAGAGAGGGCGTCCGAGCACCGCCAGCAGTAAGATCAAGGTGAGAGACCGTATGATTGACCTTCCTGTAGCGTCACCTTCAGGATAAACGTTTGCATGTTTTCGCTCCACCACTGGTCAGATCAGGTCACACTGAGACCAAGATTAGCGAGTTAGCCAGTGGTGCAGACTCCCGGGGCTGATCTGCATCAGAATGGCTGGCTAAACTTAGCAACGTTATCGCTAGCAAAATCCTATCTGAAGATTTATTAGTTGGCTAATATTAGCTTCCTCAGCTAATATGATCCATGATACTAACTTATGTATTCTGACAAACGTTGATGATTTTAGCCAACAATAAATGATGTAGCGGTACAAAGCTAATGATAGCTTTCTGCTAGCCAAGAGCGATGCACAGCAGCAGCGTCCTTTGTGGTGTGGGAACATATAGATATAGTGAGACATTCTAAATATGATTGTCATTCAGTCTTGTGTACTTCATGTCGCTACGTTCAGTTAGCTGAACACCGCTAGCTACTGCACAACTGTCTCTATCTGATAGCAGTTAGGCTCCGCCCACAAAATACTAAAAGGTCAGTAGTAGGCGGAGTTTATCCAACATCATCAAACTTCCAGCACAAATTAATTTCGCTGTGATAATTTATTTTGTAGGAACAAGACACAACATTTACAGACTGAGAGAGTCTAAAACATCTGATTGCTGTTTGTGGTTTAGTCAGCTTCGACAGATAAAAACATGATGAGGTAAACACCCCCCCTTCCCCCCGTCCTCCCTCCCTTCTAGAAACAAGCCAACAGTCTGGTCCAGACTCTGATGAAGTGCACTCCTCACTACATCCGCTGCATCAAACCCAACGAGACCAAACGTCCCCGGGATTGGGAGGAGAACCGGGTCAGACACCAGGTGGAGTACCTGGGCCTCCGAGAGAACATCAGAGTCCGCCGGGCTGGATACGCCTACAGACGGGTCTTCAACAAGTTCCTGCAGAGGTCGGAGGTCAAACAGGGTAACATCATGTAGTCTGTACTGCTGCTTCAGAGACGCTAACAGAGATTGTGTGCTGCAGGTACTCCATCCTGACCAAGGACACCTGGCCTCAGTGGAGGGGCGAGCAGCGCCAGGGAGTTCTGCACCTCCTCAACTCTGTCAACATGGACCAGGACCAGTTCCAGCTGGGCAAGAACAAAATATTCATCAAAGCTCCAGAGTCGGTATGAAACACAAGTAAAGTTTCCTCTTAGCAGAGTTCCTAACCCGTAACCACAGACTGTAGGGGTATAGTCTGGTTTCAGGTCTGTGGAATGAGTACCCATAAGCCTCAGCATTTGTTGCTATGGTTCTATCACTGGCATTTTCAGAAGCTCCTGAAATTTCTGAAGTTCTGTATCCTGTACAGTGGCATTCTGGGTACTGCAGTTCCCAGAAGCCCTCAGTCTACTCAGCCTGTCTCAGTCTTGTCTTTTTTGTTTTCCTCTGCAGCTCTTCTTGTTGGAAGAGATGAGGGAGAGGAAGTACAACGGTTACGCTCGGGTCATCCAGAAGGCGTGGCGTAAACACATTGCCGTCCGCAAGTACGTCAAGATGAGGGAGGAAGGTAAGACCGATGTCCAGGAGTGAGTTAAAGGGACGATCACATAGAGACGCATCGGTACAATGCACCTTGTTTGCGCTCCTCTCTTCGGTGCACGTTGCATTTTTCTAGCAGTTTTTAGACGTTCTTAAAAGTTTAAATATTCTTAACTTTTCAGCTTGTAATGTCACACTTGACCCAGACAGCCAACAGGATTCCCAGAAAAGTGTCCTAGAAAAGCTGGTAATTTAGAGATAAGTTTTCCCATCATGGAAATACCTGATGGCTAGCTTCAGCTAGCTGAATCTGTACGACACTTCAAAGACCTAGTTTAACTCGATACTTCAGACTGTGGTCGTCAGCACACGTCCTATTGTTGGTGAAAATCTGCATATTGATTTGGGGACAATAACATGGCTGATAGCTAGCTTGTCTTGTAGGTAAACATACTCATATTATATTTACTGTTTGTTATTAACTTTGAATCTTGCTAGCATAACGTTAGCTCTCTGGCTTGAAGCGATACGTGTGATCGCCCGCTAAGAAAGCACCATGTTAGGCTCATGTTTGCGTCTTGGACGTGACGTCTTCCTCAATCTGTTTCCAGCCTCAGATGTTCTTTTGAACAAGAAGGAGCGCCGCAGGAACAGCATCAACAGGAACTTTGTGGGCGACTACATCGGGACAGACAACCACCCAGAGATCAGACAGTTTGTCGGCCGCCGAGAGAGGATCGACTTTGCCGATGTCGTGGTGAAATTCGACCGAAGATTCAGGGTAAAAACAACCCACAGCTGATCTGATAGTCTACCTGTCAGTGACATCCACTTCCTGTCTCCACTTGTCTCAATTTCCTGTTCCACAGACTGTGAAGCGTGACCTCATCCTGACCCCGAAGTTCCTTTACCTGATTGGCCGAGAGAAGGTGAAGCAGGGTCCAGATAAAGGCCAGATCCAGGAGGTTCTCAAGAGGAAGATTGAACTCACCAAGATCCAGTCTGTTTCCCTGAGGTACACCAGAAACTGGTCTAGAACCAGGACCAGATCAAGAACTAGAACCAGGACCAGAACATGTAGACACTCACATTATTTCCTGTATTAGAGGAGAAAACTACCTGAAGAGATGAAGGAGTTAAAAGTACTTTGTTTCATTTTGTCTACCTCTCTACCTGTCTCTGTCAGTACTCTGCAGGACGACTTCTTCATCATCCACGAGGAGGAGTACGACAGCGTTCTTCAGAGCGTCTTTAAAACGGAGTTCCTCAGTCTGCTGGTCAAACGTTATCAGGAGAAAACTGAGAAGAAACTTCCGCTCAAATTCAACAACCTGTCAGTACTTTATTCTCTCTGCTGCCTTCATGTAATGTTTGATTTAAAGTCTCTATGAAGTCAGAGTCTCCTATCCTCCAGTATACTAATTTATCGTCCAATAAAATGCTTTCTCTCTTCTGAGCATTTCACTATGTAGCAAGTTGGCTATCATTTCTTGCTATAGCAAAACACAAGATAATGAGCTATTGAATCTGAATCAGATTTTATGGAGAAAATATTTCCTGGTTTCAACTCTCTGAGATTGACAGAGTTTCCTGATGGAAAGATAGCTTTAGCTAAAGTAGGTAACTGCTAATTAACTGCTGTTAACTGTATCTTCCGTTAGTAGGCAACAGAACCGGGCTCAGCAGCCGGACCGGGATCAAACACAGCCTCCGAGACCAACAGGGAATAATGTTACAGTACCAAGGTCATTTACAGAGTTTCCTGATTGACAGATTGATCAGTAGCTAACCGCTAACTGCTGTTAGCCCGGCACTGTTGGTCTAAGAGGTTGTATTCGGTCCCGGGTCCGGCTGTGTTCACTGGACGGTTGACGCTGCTGTAAACGCCAATCAATATCTGTGATTTACTCCTCCCTAACTGCCTGTTTTTACAGGAAACACAAACAGAACTTCCTGGTTCACTTTAAGTGTTTCTGTTAAGATCTAAATTAATATAAAATCTACATGAAGTTCAGCTGTATCCCTTTCTCTGTGTCTGTCTCTCTCTGTCTGTGTCTGTCTCTCCGTCTGCATGCTCCTCTCTCCTCTGTCTCCTCCCTCTCACTCTCTCTCTGTCTCTTCTCTCTGTTCATGCTCTCTTCTTGTCTGTGTCTGTCTTCTCTCTGTCTGCGTCTCTCTCATCTGTCTGTCTGGTCTCTCTCTCTCTGGTCTCTCTCTCACCTCTGATGTAAGTCTCTCTCTTGTCCTTTGTCCTGTACTGTCTCTCTCTCATCTGTGCTCTCCTCTTCTCGTGTCTGCGTCCTCTCCCTCTCTGTGTCTGTCTCCCTCCTCTCTCTGCTGTCTCTCTCTCTGTCTTGCTGTCTGTCTGTCTGCTCGCTCAGTTGCGCATTTAAGGGAGAAGGCTCGGGTCCGTTCGAGCTCTTCAGGGTCCAGACAGATCGCAGTTCCCAGGCACGGTCAGGGGCGAACGAGGCCGTCCTGAAGCCCAGCGGGCAAGCCGTCTGCAGGTTCCATCGGGC